AGAACAAACTATTTTCGACTTCGTACGATACCGCTGTGTTAATTGATCACAGACTCATTTACTCAGGGTAAGCCTCGTTTCAATGTCTAAATATTCACAAATGCCAACGGTAAAGTAAAGAATGCACAACTTCAACAATAAGAACACTGAAAATCCACGGAGCCACATTGGAACACGTGAATATGTTCTGTACAAAATCGAGACTAGCGTTGAGTAACAGTGAACTTGAAACTGGAGTATTGAAATTCTTCTCCATAAAAAAAGAAAGGATCGGAAAGAGGGAAGGAAAGAAGGACGGGAAGGACGGGAAAGAAAGAAAGAAAGAAAGGAGGGAAGGGAGGGAGGGAGGGAGGAAGGAAGGAAGGAAGGAAGGAAGGGATGTCCCACTAAAAGATGATGTCATCTAAGGCTTGAAGGTAAATTTAACTGCTCACCTAAAGGGATAACGTTGACTAATGAGCATTCGACAGCCTGTAGAGGAACAGTAAGGATGTCTGGCCACACTGGACGTAATCTGCTGCGCGTCAACCACTCACGATCACCGTAATCGACAAAGAACACGTCATACTCGTTATCAAGCTTCGTGCCCAGGACACGTGCACGGTACCATCTGGAAGAGAGAAACAAGAGACTATTAAGTCTGTTCCGTATATATAGAGGCTTTGCAACATCATGTGATGGGAGCCATGACAGGAGGCAGGAACTATTGAATCTGGTCTAATCTGATTTATATGAGAAAGAATTCATTTTCGTTGGGGACAATTAATAGACCTTGACCAGCTATATTCTTTTAACTGGCATTAATGATATAGCTTCTCATTAATCCCATATAGGTAACTGTCCAATTATTTTCTTAATTGGACAGGTCTTGTTGATATGGGATTAATTAGGCAGCTACATAATTAATAGGTAATTTCATGCTCCCCAATCAAGAAATAATTAGACTCGAAAAATTCCTGACTGCCAAATTGGACTCGGCCTATGGCCTCATCCAATTTTGTCAGTCCTCGGAATTTTCCTCGTCAAATTATTTCTTAATTGGACAGCATGGAGTCCTATTACATATACAAATTGTTCAAAGTATAAATAAACTAAAAATTTAAAAAAAAAAATCAAAGCACGGAGCACCAAGAAATAACGATACGTTAGGTCATGGACTATCTAATGCAGCCCTTCAATTATCTGTCATATTTTGTCTCTTACTTGTCATCTTTAGTAAAGCACGCCATACAGAGTGATCCAATAGGGATTTCATCGTCGTCTTCGTAGCTCACACAGTGGATGCCTTCTTCTATTGCACGTTCTAGTTCATCCAGACTACACAACRAAACAKAGAAGACATTTACATCAAAATTCTGTTACGTCAGACCGCCATGTCATTTCCAAAGAGAAGCTCTTCTTCTATTTGGAATTCCAAACAAAAAATTTTAAGCTAAAGAATCCAGGAAAACTAAACGCTCAAAGCAGAAAAGTGAACCAAAAAGAAACTCTAATTGGCAGGGCCCCTATGGATACCAGCAGGGCCCCTTTGGATACCAGACTCGTAGCTGAATGGACCATCCTAGTTAATCAAGTTTACATTTACATTTAGGCACATATGATAGGGAGTTGGTAATCGATGTCGGTTACTTACGCTATGCCTTCAATGATTAGCCGATCATCATCTCCCTCCAAAAAAAAAAAAAAAAAGAAACAGAGCAGAGCAGAGCAGAGCAGAGAGATAATTATCAATACCTCGTATCGTTGGCAGCCATTTGTACAAAGAAAAAGCTAGGGTTTTCCACAGCTGACACAAACACATCTTGATAATCATTTTCATTCAATGCAACAGTCTCCAGTGATACTGATGAGTCATAACTATGGAACGAAAATAAATGATTTATTACTATGAAAACACAACGCTCTTGTTTCTATGGAAACTTGTAACTATGAAAACAATGATTCATTACCGACCATGAAAATAAATAACCTTGTTGCTACGCAAACTCGTAACTATGGAAACAAGAGCCTGTAATTTTGAAAATAGGACGTTTGCATGATGGCTTCGCGAATTTTCTTACTTTATTAAATTTGTATTCCCTCATAGAATAGTAAGACAATTGGTGCTAATTAACTGAACAAAAGAAAGTSTGCAAGGGAGTCTGGTAGTAGACGTCAATGRCGCCATCATKCAAAGTTCCTATTAAACTTTTTTCGGTTGGTTAACTAATACTATTTATTATTATTTCCTTACCTATCTCCACTGCCTTCGGCATTTTTTCCATCAAAGATAGAAAGGTCTATAACATCCTCGCAAAGCTTTCGTAGTTCTTTAATGTGCTGCGAGAATATGAAAGAAGAGAATTAATAAAGTGTTGCTTTCCTGTTTTACCAGAAACAAGCGTGTGCCTGATTTATTTGCCTTGCCTTTACTTTATATTAAGTTCGCCATCTTGGTCATTTTCCTAAATTGTCTGTCTGTTTGTCTGTCTGCTTGTCTGTCTGTCTGTCTGTCTGCCTGTCTGTCTGTCTGCCTATCTGTCTGCCTGTCTGTCTCTTTGTTTGTGTTTCTAACCGTTTTTTCCCATGAGAAGTGGCTATGCACATCAACCCTTCTGACAGTATTGTTTTATCTCACAGTCTAACTGTGAAGAATAGTGGCTGTGGTCCTGTGYGACTTTCTTAGTATTTGTCTGCATACATTCTTGTCTGTCTGTCTGTCTGTCCGTCCATCCGCCCGCCTTTGATTGGTCGTTTATTTATCTGCCTTGTTGCTTGACCATGGTCGTCTGTATGTATGCTTGTTGTCATTTTGTTTGATTCTTCCTCTGCCGTCTGTCTGTCTTGTTTTCTTATGAYCACATGCAAACTTACATATTTGTTCTCCGTAGCAAGACCATTCTTCAGCAGCTCCATTCTGATGTTATTAATATTGGTTGTCACATTRATACTCTTCAGTACTCTTCTCTCAAACAGAGGATCCAGCCACATCGTGTTACCAAGGCTGCCAAAAAACAAAATTACAAACACAGTTCTAAAACCAAAAACGAAATACCGCGTCAATAGCAATTTCGAGGTGGAGGAAAAAAAATGTGTCCAGTTTGTATTGGAGTGAATTGTGGAACATATTTCCAAGACGGCGTCTATTTAATCGTTGGAATGGCTGACCCAAAAGACATCACGTTGACTTCAACTAACTCCAGAAAAACCACTAGGCCATGTTTATAAAACGTGATAAGATTATAAATTAATTTTACGTCCATCGCACAGGAACCATACTTTCATACAGGACACCAAACTTTCTGTAAGTTAATTACATTACCTCAGAACTACCCGACCTTCAAGTTCTTTGCCTTCTACCAAGTCCTTAACGAAGACGTTGGCCTAGAAGGAAAGAAAAATATTTCAGATGTCAAAATCAAAATAATTTGAACGATTTTATTGAACTTCACCGAAAGTAGACTCTCTAAACTATTATTATTATTATAAACTAAATCCACGAATGGGGGTCAAGACCATTAAAATATTAACATCAAAAACGATGTCAATCCTCAAAATAAGGATAATCTTTTGTTTTGAACATTAGATTGGGAATTAAGATGCGGTGTTGCATGCGATGTTGCATGCGACATCACAGAAGTACAAGTAATTTCTACTTCTGCGACGTCGCATGATGCAACGTCGGATGCAACATCGCACCGTGTCACGCCCAAAAAATARCTTTTTTATGCAACGTTGCAGGCGATGTTGAATCGTGTGACTGCCTTTAGTGTAAGGATTCTATGAGGCAGTTTTTGACTACGAAGTGCTACGCTTTTCTTAATGTTCAAAGTGGCAATGCACTTGTATTTCAGCATCCTGGATGGCTTAGGTGGTTTGTGCAAGAGTTTGTGCGTTCAAGTCTATCTTGGCCCGACCAATACTCAGGGTTTTAAAATACCCGAGTAGAAGATGCTGCCTTTGCTTTAAAAATATCTGCAAATGGTTAGAAGTTTCCAATGGCTTGGATGACCACGTGAATTGGCGGTCCTAATTTCAAAATTGTTTGTTTCCATTTATTTGACCGATAAATATGTTTGTACTAAGACGACTAACCTCTCGCCCTTATGGTCTTCGAATCAAGCAGCCATTTGCGCTGCGRGTCTAATTGTTAAATACTCTTAATAGGATGCTTTTTAAAGGGGCACTTGGATGAAAATTAATCTATACGGCCCCAATAGTAGCCAAGCAACATATTTTCTTCACTGTCAAAAGTGTCGGATAAAAATTATCAATTTTATGCAGCATCTAATTTGTGAGTAAATGACGTCATTTACTCAACCATATTGGTTTTTCTGCTTTTGAACCAAAATTACTCAATTGCAAGTGGCTCCCAGGCGAAAAATTTCACTAATCTGGYTTACATAATCATAATTGAGTCAAATTATCCACAAATACTTCAATTATTCGGACTTTGAAAAATTGGGGCGTTTTCGTCCAAGTGCCCTCCTGCTAGGGTTATCTCCTTAATTTTTGGTGTTTCCCTGAGGCAAAGACAACAAGACCTGACCTGGCCCCGGAGTCATCAGGAGAAAACAWCACGCAGGTGTTCATACCTTTGGTGTCCATTGAAGACTCTTGTCTTGTGGTTTGACACGACAGACAAAGACTTGAACAGCCTAGAAAACAGCAAGAATTATTTGATTGACGGCAGCGTATTGAACGATGTGCCAGTCGCGACTGTAGCCTCGACCAGCTCGGAACTTAAAATTTAAAAAAATTTTAAAATCATTAAAATGGCAAATACTACAGTCAAAATTCTAAAAACCCTAGAGTGGTTTTTATTAACCCATTAAACAAAAGTTGGTAAAAGCCAGATTCAGAAACTTATTAGTTGGTAATAGCCAGATTCAAACAATAGAAAACAAAGGAGTTAGAGCGTAATGGTATTAAATACTCTAAAATCTAAAATGTATTCAACAGGTTTATGAAAATCACTCTTACCAATTATAGTACTATTAATCCTCTAACTAAAATAAAATAAATATATCATATTAGTGATTTTCATAAACCCGTGAGTCAGAATATATATACATAAGATCGACATTAGACCCCATAGGGAAATTATAAAGGAAAACCAAGGGGCGCGCGAAAAAAAATGTTCTAGCGCATTATTTATTTTTTTACTCTTTCGCATTACAGAAGACATTATCTTGATCTCGAATCTAAAAAATAATTAKTTAATTTTTCCGATTTTATTTTCCCCATTCACTTTAATCTACATTGGGCTCCCTGTGGTTGAATTAACTCAAACACTATCACCTCCTCTAAATGCTTGGCATATGAAAAGTGATGTCTGCAAATTAAATTAAACTACATATTCCCAAACGTAACCCAAAATATATCATTTTAGAATATAAAGGATACTCAGGAAATTTTCAAGTTCTTGGAAACGTGTTCAAATGCACGCATGCGCATACRTTTTTCACCGACAGAGCATGCGCAGTAAGAAATAACGGCGCTGGGAACAAGTCAGGTCTGGGTTCTAATCTAATTATTCTYGTGCTGAAAGCTTTGACAGAATGTCAAGGAAATAATTAAGGTCACGCTTATTTCTAACCAAACAAGTGAAGCATCAAGACATTAAGTTAACGGTTACCAACATGGACTCTTTTTTGAATGATTTGAGGAAGAAAGTCCAGTGCTCCTTGTGTAATGATTCACTAAGCGAACCAAAGATCTTGCCATGTTTTCACATATTTTGTACGTCTTGTATCGAAAGACACGCGGAACTGGCCAACGAACTCCACCTGTTAAGGTGTCCTGAATGTGAATGTGAAATTTCACTACCAGCAACAGGCAGCGAGGAAGGCCTACAGCCAAGTCTTCTACATTCGAGAATTTTGAAGGGTCTGGCGTTAGCAGAATGTAAAGCGGCTTGTTCTGTTTCTGGGAGTCATTCGCCAGCATCTTGGTATTGTTTTGAATGTGATCACTCGCTGTGTGAAGAATGTGAGAAAAATCATTTCTTTTTCACTAAAAGCCACAACACTGTTGCTCTGCCTGATTTGAAGAAAGAAGATATTGAGTTCATTATAACAAGGGAAAATCCTTGTAAAAGTCACCCTCAGCACAGGCTAGAGTTGTCCTGTGAAGACTGTGATGACATGATTTGTATGGAGTGTTTCAAACATAATCACAAGGATCATAAGACGATGTCATTAGACACGCTTGCTTCGATCAAGAAAGATGTACTGTCAAAGCATCTGCAGGTACTCGTGCAGTTGAGATTAGATGACAAGGAAAACCAACAACAAGAAAACATTGCCAAAACTATCAAAGAACAAGGAGAAAAGGCCAAAGAAGGCGTGAAGTACACCACCAAGAAACTGATGCTCAGGTTAGAAGAAAACGAAAGAGAACTGCTGAGACAAATTGATGAAATGATGAACACWGCGACGACAAACTTGAACATAATTCATCATATTCCAGCAGTCAAAGAATACATCAAGAATTTGATGGAAAGAGGACTTGCAAGTGAAATGTTTAACATTGAAGAGACACAATGCTCGGAGAAATTCATCTTTAACCCAATTCCACTGTCATCAAGAATTGTCTTTAATCCTAACGAAGAGCTGGGGCAACAAGTAAATACAGGTCTTGGAGAAATACAGACGCATTCTGAAACTGACCATACGATGAGCACTATTCTGGTGGAGGGTGAGCCAGAAGCTKCAAGACAACAAAGGCTTATATTGATAACTAAAACTTCAACAGGACAGGATAGTATTAATACAGGCGATGTGGTAGACGTTAAAATCAGCCCTGAAGATGACGTGGAAATAGAGGAGAAAGATGTGAGGACTGCTGGGAGAATAGAAGTTGAATTCATGGCTAAAGTAGCTGATCAACTGATAGCAGAGGTTCARGTGAATGGGAATCATGTTTCTAACAGTCCACTAGTGGTGACCGTCAAGCCTCAACAGATGAGAGTTACAGGACCGTTTAACATGAAAGGTGTGGATACYGATTCACATAGCTTGACAGGAATAGCAGTAAACAGAAACAATAGCATTATCGCTGTAGCAGATTGTACTTCTCACTGTGTCCACGTATTCAACACTGCTGGAGATCTTTTACTAACGTATGGCTGTCATGGCTCTACACAGGAACAGTTGTGTGGACCTGARGGTTTAGCATTTCTGAACGATACAGATTTAGTCATAGCAGACTGGGGTAATCATAGAATATGTATAGTGAACATTACGACAGGGGTATTGATAAAAACCTTTGGTAGGCAGGGRAACAGGAATGGAAATTTTTGCGGTCCCGTTGGAGTACACGTCGATGAGGATGGTAACATCATTGTTGGTGACAATGGCAATCATCGTGTTCAAGTCTTCACAAAAGACGGTGACTATCAGTATCAGTTTGGTTAYACGGAACAAGAAAAATTCCACCCAGTCAGTGCAGTGAAACGTGACAAGATCTTTTACGCGAGCGATTATAACAACAACAACATCGTTCGTGTATCAGAGAAGAAAGGTAAYGCACCAACTAAAATAAYGACGATTGGTGGATACGGCAGTGATGATGGTCAGCTGAGTAGACCATTGTACCTGGCTATTGACATGAACAATAATCTTTTGGTTTGTGATCGTGGGAATAATCGTGTCCAGAAATTCACCCCGGATGGTCGTTTTGTAGGCACGACATGGGATGACATSAAGGATCCTGTATCTATGGCAGTGTTGAATGATGGACAGATATTAGTTACTACGTCTGGTTCTGGTGTGTGGCTTGTAAGGTAGAAGGAATGTGGACAATTCATTAACGATGATGGCGTTTGTAATAGAAATCAAAACCGCAGAGTGAGAAACCGAAAAGAGGAAGGGGTAATAAATGAGAAACCCATACTCTAATAATAAAAAATRAATACATAAATAGAATAAAGTTGAAAGAAAAAAATTGTGTCCTAGCCATAGGATTCGAACCCACGGCATTCGGTTATTCTAGTCCGATGTGCATTTGCATCGAAGCGAGACAAACGGTGAGCTTGCAATGATAGAGACGTGAATAACTGTCCAAGGTGTTAAAAAATCTCAACTATACGTTGAACTTGCAATGACAGAGACATGTGAATAATTGTCCAAGGTGTTAAAAAAGCTCAACTATACGTTGAGCTTGCAATGACAGAGATATGTGAGTAATTGTCCAAGGTGTTAAAGAAGCTCAACTATACGTTGAGCTTGCAATGACAGAGACATGCGAATAGTTGTCCAATGTGTTAAAAAAGGTCTTTATCATTGCAAGCTCAATGTATAGTCTTCGATGCAAAAGCACGGCTACCTTTCAAGATGGCGCAGGAAACTGCGAAAGGGACTATCAAGAAATTGCTTTCTTTTTGTAGATATAGGTTCCAAACATTTGCAGATGTTTGTTTCAGTTTTGGAAAACACGAGCCATAATAAACTATGAAAAACTACTAGGCAAAAACTATTAGCTATAAAACCAATCGAATTACATCAAGGATTTTTCAACGTTTGAGGGCTACCTTGCCCTTCTTACCGAATATTTYATAAAGAATACAAGTTAATAAAAGAAAATGTCTGCCATAAAGGTCAAGTAAAAAAACTTTTTGAAGACGAAAAAAATTGAATTGTAGCAAAAAAATGATAGCATACTGCTTACAAGGAATGTATCACAAGAGATATAATGTACCAAGAAAAAGTTAAGGCACCATGGTGCTGGGGATCATTTTGTGAATACTGGCACCGCCCCTCGCAATTCTGTGCCCGGCTATCAGAAGCCCCTTTCCCGGAGCGTACAACTCACGTATCTTCATTAGAAGATATCCTTTTTCCAGACCATCTATATTTTAAAAAACGGCCTCCRACCAAGTTSCTTTGTTATTTGGCAACAATTCGAATCTAAAAACAACCAGTCGATATAATAATAACTCGAGATAGGAGTACTAGTTGTACGCTCCGGGTAATAGGCTCCTGTACCTATCTGTACGCTTCTCCCTCAGATGTTATGACTGCTCGAAAAAAAAATCATAAATGCCTTAAAACTGCAATAAGTTTTGTTGTTTAAAAGATGTACCTCACTGATTACTGAGCGGTGTTTTCATGGCAAGCGATGCGTAAAATATTCGATCTTTGCGGGTGATTTATTGAAAACTTTTGCAAACCTTTTTAATTTTTTTGTAAGTCTCTAGTGTTTAGCTCCATTCATCRATTAATTTCACCAGAAACTCATAACGTGCGTGGTTGAAGCGTGAAACAACCACACATGCACAGGATATTCAACTTTTTTCTTCGCAAAATTCTTTCCAGTAAATCACGTCCTCTTGCTTTAKAAATTCCCAAAACTAAATCTAAAGAGGATATCCTATCCTATTTGATCGAAAGATTCAGTAAATCTCCKGGGAAACTCAGGAAATTCAGCGAGAAGTCTGATAGGTGAGAGAAACGGCCATCTTGAAATCAAACTCGTAATTCCAAATATGGTATCAAATCTCCTAATTTGCATATCTAAATATACCGGAGAATGGTTATAATTAACACGTTTCAACTCCCTTCCAAGCTTCTGATTTCACACACGCCCATATTGCTTTCCAGCTGTAGGGCTCCCAAATACCAGCTCCAGTGTAACCGGTTTCGGATGCTTTCATCGGTYAGAAGAGTAATATTAGAGAGTTTTAGATTTACGTTCACGGCAAACGTGAAACGTCAGTTGACCAGT